CTCCGGTGATCTCCCGAGATGCATCCCTTTAGTTCAGCAGTTATCTCGCGCCAATCTAGGCAGTGCGCTGTGATAAAACTTAGAACGGAGGAAAGGCGTTAAACTGGCCAAACTCGGCCTTTCGTCCAGCTTTCACTTTGCCGTTCTTGCCTCTGCAGCGTACGTGGCCTCGGGAAGATGCCGGACCACCGTGCAGGATGAAGGGCGCAAAAGAGACAAAAAGCAGATTTTCTCCAGACTAAAGAAATGGAGCATAAGGGGTCGCGGAAAAGATCTTATGTGGCCAGCTTACTAGTGTTCAAGAGAACATTTTCAGTGTTCGCTGATTCATTAATTTCTCCATTCGACAAACAAAAAAGCTTACAGAACTTCGGGAAAACTTGATCGGACTTAAGGGAGGAGAGAATAGATTTAAGACCGCCTCCGATGCGAAAGTTCAGAGAGGAGGGGAACTGCGCCAGGCCCAGGGTCTGAGCACAGCCAGGTAGGGGAGTTTTGTTGTGGCTGGAGGCTAGAGTGGCTATTTCTGCCAGTAATAAGCAGTGTGAACCTTTTTTAGAAGGACGAGGTAAAAGGAAGTTTCAACGAATTTTAAACTAGGTTGAGACCTGACTACACTCGTGACTTAGAAGTGTAAGAAATGATTTACTCTGGCTCATAAGAAAATGATTGACTCTGGTTCATTAATTCACCACTTACGTGTGTGTATGTATGAGCATGTGTATGCAGTTTTATGGGGTTTTTTGTTTTGTTTTGTTTTGTTTGCCATGCAGTGTTCTAGTCTTTAAGGATATGGTGAGTGAACATATGTAATGAATTGCCTGTCTTTGGAAGTGTCTTTGGAGACTGATTAGCAGGGTCAAATTAGAACATTTCACACATGCAAAGCGTATACTCACTGTTCATCCAAGTTTTATCCTACCAGCAACATGGATTACACTGATATTCTAACAAATGTATCAACAAATGGTTGTTAAATTTATTGAGTGCTTGTCAGTGTACCAGGTACTGATCTAGATATCTGACTGTGATATATTAACTCATTTAATCTTCACACAACTCTATGAGGTAGGTGTCATTATACACATTTTGAAGTGTGGAAAGTAAAGTACAAAAAGGTGGGAGAAAATATCTTAATGTTTAATTTCCAAAGAGAAGAGAGCAAGGGCATAGGCAATGGGAAAGGGAATAAATCAGAAAAGAAGGGAATGATATAATTTGGGCTTTCTATAGTGGTTTCCCAAGGACGACATCTTTCATTCACTTATCTGCCCCTGACTTCATTTCCCTAGATAGCAAAAAAGATAGGCTGATCTTAAGTAGCTGACAGGAGAAAATTGTACCAGTATAGTGCCACTGCCTATTTAAATTTCATCAAAAAAATAGGAGACTTAAGAAAATGCTTTCATCACACACTTTCTCCAATAAGTATTCTAGGCTCCATAACACAGGACCTTTGGTGGTTTGTTTAAAATACACCCATGCTAATGACGAATTCCATTTTCAGATATACCTGACTGCATTTCTTATTAAGATTTTTACCTGGAGTTATTCATGGTATGCTGCTGTCATTAATTTTAGACTTACAAACCACTTTTGTAAATGGATATATCATATATCAGGGTGACTTCAGACCTTTTCGTTCCTGTTCCAAAGTTCTGAAAGTGCATTGTGATTTAACAGAAACATTGAGTGGCAGTGGCCATTACTTTCTCCTGCTTTTACTCTCACCTTTTTCTCACTCCCTTCACATGGATCTCATTTTGCTCCTCTAGAGAGCATGGAATTTAACAGCTGGAAGGAATCACTAAGTTCAGATCAATGTTCTTTTACAAATACCAAGACTGAAGCACAGAATGTAAATATTTTGCTCAAATTATTAGGCAGAACAAGATTTCAGTATGCCCTTGTTTTTCACCATTACTCATATATCTCTGTCATTTATTTCCTCTTTAGCCATGTATATCAACTTAACTTGGAATAAAAATAAGGCTCTTTTAACTTCTTTGTGTATTTTATGATCTCTCAAATCATTAAAAAGTTGAATGTACTAAATTAGTATCTCCTAAAGTAATTTATTTTTTAGTGAGTAGTTCTTGCTTTAGAACAATTGCTATGTGACTCACAGCAGTTCAAATCAGGCAATTGTTACAGCCTCCTGAGTAACATGTGCTTACAATAGTCACCTGCTCCAGAGTCCCTCATCCTGTAGGAAACCAAGAGTAGCTTTGGGATTGAGACACGAAGTTTAAC